GACAAGCTCGTTGCACAACTCTTTTAGCACTCTAGGATGCACCATGTCAGAGCTGGGACTCTTATGGACCTTAGGCTTTGACACTTTATTTCTAATACCCTCTTCTGTGCACACAATGTGGGTCAGTGCTGTGTCGAACCGTCTGTCCTCAAAGGCAGGAAGGTTAATCGCATCCTCTCTTGTGAACACCGAGGAAAAGAAGCTGTTTAATACCTCAGCTTTATCCTGGTCAGAATCTGTGTAACTACCATCTTCAAGCCCCAGGTCTGATACTCCTGCTCGCGTTTTTAATTTCGACTTTGCATAGCGGTAAAATGCCTTTGGATCTGAATTGACCTCGCTTGCAACCAGCCTCTGGAACTCCTTTTCAGCCCTTCTATACTCTATCTTGTCTTGGTTTCTGGCTCTTGCATACACCTCCCTGTCCTGCTCATCGTTTGACCCAACCCACGTTTTGAATTTCTGGGTTTTCTTCTTGACTTTGTCGACCGCCGCATGGTTCATGTGTAGGGATCCTCTCGTATTCTTAGAGGCACTGGGTTTGGTCTTCGGTATATATCTATCGATCAAATGGGTCACTTTACTAGTTATGATATTCAGCGTAGTGTCTGCGTTCTTGTGCCTTAATGAGCCAGGCCAGTGGATACCCCCATCTCTTCCCTCATCCCGTTGTAATTTCCTTTGAAAAAATTTGCACCTTGGCCTGGCCTTATCTTGAACTAGGTAACAGTTAAATCTGAATGACAACACTCTTTGGTGACTGATGCCAACTGGGGCAAGGTGTTCCATTTTGGCCACCATACCCTCCTCGTTTGTTATGATGAGGTCTAGTGGCTTGGGTGTTTGCTCCCCTCTGTAATGTGTCGGTTCTCTAACATGTTGGAACAGAAAATTATCTCTCAGAGTTTCTACAAAAAGAGTAGCGGGGTTATTCAAGTTATTTGGGGTGAATTCGTTTCTCCAGTCGATGTCGCCAAAGTTAAAGTCCCCCATGATAAGGAGGTGGCTAGGATTGAGCATCGCTGCATTGTCTATTAAGGCTCTAAGTCCCTTTGATTTAGTGGGCCACAGTTTGGGGATCTGTAGTTTAATTTTACACCACTTGGACTCTTCAAAAACATCCTCTCCCTGTACCCTCGCCTGGCTGGCTATAAGGTCTTGCCTAGCGTAGATAACCACACCCCTCTTGCAAGTTTCTTGAGAAAGATTCGTAAATGAGTCATATCCAGCAATACTGAACTCACATTCCTCTTGGTCGATTCTCCTGTTCTTGTACAACAGTTCTACAACTCCTACAATATCTGGTTGGTGTATCTTCAGTAGTGTTTCAAACTCCTCCCTCTTATCAAGGAACGTGTCAGTATTACTGTACATGACATTCAAGCCAGAATTTGTTCTCGGTAACGCCTCTGCTCTTAGTAGTAACCCCCCCCCCCTCCCCCCATTCTCAGAAGCTGCAGCATTTGCTAAGTACAGTGTATCGCTCTCAGCTGACATAGGCATCACCTTTGGTAACTTCATAACTACGCTATATTAGGTCAAGGTTAGGGGTATATTTATAGGCAGTGATAAATGCTAAATTATATTTTTACAAAGGCCAGTTTTTTTTTTCATAAATCATACCATCACCTTCTATTTTGAATTTTGCTATATACAAAATGTGCTGAAAGTTGTTATGATGATACCAAAGGTGACGCCTATGTTAGCTGAGAGCGATAAGATATTAATAAATATTTTTAAAAAATGTCGTTTTTTATGTTAATGACCATGACCTAACTTTCGTGGCACCCCTTCTAAATCCAATTATTATGCCCTAAGGCTCATGTACCAAATTTGATGCTTTCTTCCAGTGCGTAACGATTTCTCAAATGATTTGGCTTAATCTGCCTCACTAGTACTGTACAAGCCCGTTCTTGAATGAACTCAACACTCTCTGGCAAATTGTCCCAAAAGTTTGCCTTTACAATTTTCTGAACACTGGGTTTGTTCAAACTCATGCTGTGAAGTTTGAATATGTCTTTCGGAGGCGGAGTTTACATTAACCAATCACAGATCGAGCACTCATTTGAATGTATACAATAAGTCAATCAGAAGTAGCCAGTTAGGTGCGCCCTGATTGGTCCCCGAGATATACTAGAACATCCATTGAAAAACCAGCACACTCATGCGCCTCAGATAACTGGGAAGATGACAACGCATGCAGCTGCCTAATCTATACTATATCTACTGTACACGGGCAAGGGTTGATTTAATAGAAGTTTATAAGTACTGTACCTCACAGGACATTACTCAGTCGGGTGCTCATATCTGGAACTAGCGGATGCTCGGCCCCCTAGAGGTTACACTGTTATAGCCTCCGGTCTTAAATGAGCTCACACTCGGTGACGTCAAAACTCTTGGCAGATTATTGCAAGACTTCACAACTCTCACCCCAAAAGAGTTAAATAATCTAAAACCAAGTGTGACTCCATTTAAGACCAGACTTGACCAACATTCAGGA